AAATTGGAATATGGCAGGCTGACTGTGATGAATTCTCTGAAGTGAGTGAACAAAAGACAGCAACTCCAGAGAAAAGGCTACATACTGCAACAAGCCATGCTGGAAGAAGACTGGAGGTGGGGCATGGGGCGCGGGAGACTCTGTTTCCCCCCACTCCATTAAAGTTTGCCAACTTTTGATTTCAAGCCCCCGGGTATATGGCCGGGGCCAGGAATAGGGTTGGGAATGGAGTCTGATGTGTTTCAGTGGCAGTGTTGCTCATAGGAAAAGCTTTCTGCTTGCGCCTGTCACTGGCATTAGCAAATGCAGTGACGAGCACGCTTGTTTGCTTACTTGGAGTATTTATGCCCTGCGTACATGCCAAAGTTCTTGAGGCAGCTAGCACGGATCATGGACATGAACAACAGATAAAATAGTGCATTAGGGATGATCTGGTGAAGAGATCAACCGGAGAGAGGGAGGCAGGGAGGGTGAGGAGCCTTCAAGGGCTGCACAAGGCTATCAACCCTCAACTAACCTGTGGGAAGTATTGCAGAAGAGAGAGGAAGGCAATCACACTGAACTCCTTTTCCATCTGGACCCTCTCTGACCCCAAGGCCATGTCTGCCAAGTCTCTTCAGGGAAGGTCCTGATTATTGCAGACTTCTTAAAAAAGTTATTAATGTTAAGCTACTTTTAGGTCACCTTGGTTAGGATTTGTATCCTGGAGGGTAAGGAATCCCCATTCTTTAGACACTCAAATACTCTTCTGTCAACTAGCTCAGAGGTGTTACCTTGTGTGGTTGGCAACATACACACATGCACCTTCTCCCATAAGCCAAGCCTAATGTTTTACCTCTTTTCCTGAAGTATCGATGTCCCTTAGCACCAGCTACTGTTCTAAGTCAGCAGAATTGCAACAGGGCCTACTTCCTTCTCTCTTGCCAGTATTCCCTTTCTGTGCTTTCCCTGAGAGTTTTTCTCCTGCACCTGGCTATGCTGCCAGTTCCAGCCAAGTTTGACCTACAATGCCAGAGAGCCATTCTTGAAAATTACATGTTGTCTGCCTGCTCCATTTCTGCAGGTCAGAGAGCATTCCTCTAGGCTCCCAAGAGATGCATCTCTTTCACAGCGCAAGGGTGATCTAAGTGCCAAAAGTCGAAAGCACAGATTCCTCTGGAATCACGCCTATGTGAGTGCAAAAAGGCTTCTGCAAAGATCTTGCTATAAGGCTATAAAAGGGCATGTGGACTGGAGTGTTTTTGTTGATCTGTTCTGTAACGTGCAGCTGAACAGGAGTTGGAGAGGAATGAAAGAGAGAAGGGTTCACATATATCAGTGTGGACTTATTCAGAGATAAGCCTCATACAGCCTCACTAGGGAGACCACTTTCAAAGGGAGGCTTCTACACCTAGAAAAGTTGTTAAGAGAAAATGATGGCAACTATGGCCCTTCCCAGTTTGTGTGTACTTTGTCAAAATTCTCTCTTCCACACAATGATGAATGCATGTTTAGGCAGAATCGTATGCATGTTTAGAAGAAAAAAAATACTGTATCTCCCAGCCAGTTGCAAGCCTATGCTAGGAAAAAGTCCTGCATTGTAAAGGTACCAGCTTAAGGCTTGCAGTCCCTTTTAAGAACTGCCCCCTTGCCAGGTCTACAGCAGTTAGCAGGTGATCATGTTTACCTCCAGTCAGTTCACCTGCTGACTCCAAATACACAGGAGCCAACCAGGCTATCCCCACACCTCTCCTAATTAGTTGCCAATCCCATACCAGACCCATGTCTCTCATGGGATCCCATTTCTCCTGCAGTTATGCATTAGAACTGCCAGCGCTTTGCAACACCCAGCTGTGCAGACATGAGCATGCCATCATGTTAATCTCTGTACTTGCAAAGCTTTACCCAAGCTGGTATCTGCCATCAAGCTGTTGCTAAAGGCACAGAAGTCAGCCAGGTGATGTCTTTTTCTGGGTTACTTGACAATTTTCATTGGTGATAGCTCATGCTCCCCATCACAGGGATGAATTCAGGTTGCAAAATGCAGAAACAGGAAGTACACCCAACAGAAGTTCATCAGGAACTCCAAAGGTAAGTGAAATGCTTGAAAGCTTCCAAGAGACACTGTGCCACTGAATACGATATGCTGGAGACAAACAAGGGAGGATCTGATGTTTTCTAGGAAGGCTTTCAGGAGGTTCTGCCAGACCACTGTGAAAGAGGGGGCTGAATTAGATGGACCTTTACTCTGATCTAGTAGGCCTGGTTTTCTCATACACTATGAGATCTAGACCAAATTGCTCTGACCATACAGGTTGCTCTCATCACAGGGCAGACCTGTCTGAACTCCAGCCAATGCTCAAGCCTGCCAAGGAGTCACATGAGTTTTAAAAGCAGCTTTTCAAAAATAACAGAAGTGATGGATTCTTTCTTTCTTAATAAAAAAAACTGGCCGAAGAGGGAAATAGCTGGGCAATTGGATTACACAACAGAGAAGGACTGGAAACTTGAACTATTCCAAGCATTCTGTCTGGATCCAAACGGAATAAAGTTTGGGGAGAGAAGATCCCATCTTCAAGTCCCAAGGAGCAGGAGGGAAAAACAAAAGGACCCTGGCCAGGAAATTGTTGGCTCATTGTGAGCTTTTGTTTATAAATGAAACAGTTTCAAAATGATTTCCAGAAAATTAGATTAACTGAACTGGAAGGGACTTGGGGACTAGTTGCTAATGCTCAGCTTGATCTACTTCACAGGGTTGTTGTACTGGTAAAACAGGAATGTATTTTTTGGAGGAATAACTAGATGTTTAACTAGTGAAATGTGTGGTCCAAACCAATGTGGGGCAACTCAGAAATAGGGCCCACTAAGTAGAGATCGAAAAGTAGAGTTCGAAAGCATACAAATGCAAGTAGATAAAAAGGTACCACTTTGGTGGGCAGGTAACAGCATTCCGTGCACTTTGGTGTTTAGTCATGCCAGCCACATGACCACGGAGACTGTCTGCGGATAAACGCTGACTCCCTCGGCTAGGAAACGGAGATGAGCACCGCCCCCTAGAGTCAGGCATGACTGGACTTAATGTCAAGGGGAAACCTTTACCTTTAAGTAGAGATCATGCCCATGTCTTTTGATACTTACCTGGAAAGAAGATCCATTGGGCTGTACAGACATTTCAATCTTGTGCATGCTTACCTGGGAGAAAGCCACTTGGGCTTACTTCTGAGCAGACATACAAAGACTGGGTTGTAAGTAAGTTAGTTCACAATTCAAATTCGCAAAGAACTTACTGTGCATTCAAGGGGGAATCATGCTGTTCTGTTGATTCTACTACTTCCATCAAGCAGATGGAAAACTGTTTGATGATGCATGGAAACTTAAAAGCAAGAAGTGAAGGAAGGAGCACCAGAGGAAGGGCTGAAGGGTAGAAGTTAAGCTGTGGGATAAATATCCTTTTAAAAACTGGTCCTGCAGCTCAGCTACCTGTGCCCCCATCACTTTTTCTATGGCTGAAAATTTCAGGCTGCTGTAAGAACAGGCATATTAAAGATGGATGGGAACAGAGGAAAAGAACATGGAACAAGGGGAAAGGTTAAAGAACTTGTTAAAACCTTATGCTTCAATTTTGTGGTTCAATGCCCAATGTTATCTAATTACCAACTTGCAGCATTCACATATTAGAAGTGTCAGCAATTTATTCCCACTAACTGGTGCTCAAAACCACAAATGAACATATAGTGCATAGAATACGGTTCTTGTCTCTCTTTCCCTCCCCCCTGGACATTTAATAGTTTTGTGATAGGTCAAAATCCAACAGGTGAAACATTCCTGATCACTGCATCCTGTATTCAGGGAAATATGCTGGTCATTCAGTTGTTTGAGGTTCAGATGAAGTCTTGCTGACCTTAGTAACATCATTCTGTACTAACATAATTTGATTCTTGCAGTTTCAGGGAATCTTCAAGTTGTAAAAATGGCTTCTAGTGCATTTCTGACCACTTTGTGTGTTAAGACACAAGAACTCTTAAAAGAAGCTGACAATCTGATAAAGCTGGTATTTTCCAGGTCTGATCGCTAGACTTGAATCTAAGAGATCTCCTTTATCCAATAACTCTATCAGCTTCGGTCTTCCCCTGTAGAGAAGAACTGACTATAGTCTTATGCCAATTTACCTGGGAGTAAGCTTCACTGAACTCAATGGGTCTTACTTCTGAGCAAACATGAACATTCAGACTTCCAGCATTCTAGTTAAAAGAGATGTTCCAAAGGTAAAGGGTAAGTTCTGTGTTAGCTTAATTGATGACTTAATAGCAATTGTTTCTTAAATGGATTTGGGTCTCCAGTTGCCTTTCACTGCAGCACGATTCTTTGAAGTGAAACAGCTGGAGAATGTGTTGTCCTTTCCATTTGCACCTTTGGGATGCAATTGGAAAACGATCCCCCCCCCCCTCCACACACACACACAAATCTAAACGCCAGGACTCCTAATCAATCATCGATTGTAGACATATCTCAATAAAAGCCCACTGAACCTATTGGGATTTACTGCTGTTGTGTAAACATGCATTGGGTTGGGTTGTCAGTGGGATCTAGGGTCTGTATTCCATGCTAATCTAACTTAAGTCCCATTGGTTTCAGTGGGAATAGTCGAGGGAGAAGTAACCAAGAATACAGCCCTAGGAGAAGAACTTGGAAAGTTGTGGGGACAGTGGGACAGTGCGCAGAATGAGACTTGTTTCCAAATAAGTGCGCATTCTAGAGAACTGCAGCCTGAGGAGAGAGTAGAATTGATAATTATAACGGAGAGGAAAGGAGGGAAATGCCAGCCAATTCTTGGTAGCCCGCAGCCACACCCTGCCGGCTGGCGACCTTCCAGCCCGACCGGCTACACCTGGCGCGGAAGGAGGCCCGCGGTTCGCGGGCTGGGCGCTGCATTTAAGGCGCGCCGGGACTACAGCGCGGAGCTCCAAACGCTCAGTCCGCGGCACAGCGGCGGAAAGCCGGCTCGGCTTCGACGGTCCAACATGCTCCTGGCTTGCTGGTTGGGCACTGCGCTGCTGCTCTTGCCAGCCACGACGGCAGCCGCTGGCGCTGCGCTGCGGCTCGAGGGGGATCCCGTGAGCGCTGCCTGCTCTTCCCCGGGCGGCTGCGACTCCCCCGAGAGCGACCGCAAGGCTCCCTGCAGCGGCGACGACGAAAAGGACTGCGTGGCCCGCGCGTCGGGCGAGCCATGCGGCGTCTACACGCCGGGCTGCGCCCCGGGCTTGCGCTGCGTCCCTCGGCCTGGCGAGCGCGCCCCGTTGCACGCTCTGCTGCGCGGGAAGGGGGTTTGCTCGGCAGGGGCAACCCTGAAGGGCGGCGGCAGAAACCAGACGGAGGCGGAACCTACGGCAGGTGAGTGGGCCGCGCCTTCCTAGAGCGAAGGCTTGTGAGCCCCCACGTGTGAACGTGAGACTCCAGGCGGTTCGAGGTGGGATAGCTGTCCCGGAGAGAAGAATCTCCACCGAGCTGTAGTAAGATTTGCAGCGGGAGTTACTTAATGGGGGGGGGGGGGGAATTGTGGAAAATCGTCGTGGCTGCTGCTTAAAATCAGGCTGGCTCAACCCTAAGCATATGTGGAGAGAAACCCCATTGATCTCCGCGGGTCTGACCTCTGAGCACACAGCTATAGGATTGGATCGCAAAACTGGTAAAACGGTCAGGGTTTTTCTTCCCACAATTAAAATGCGTGCTGCTTCTCTCTCCCCAGTCCCACAGCTTTATTTTTCCTTGCTTACACAGACAATAGGGACTTGACTCCAAATTAGCAACTGCAATAGACATGGAGTCGCGTGGGGTAGTAAAGATCTTGTGGATATGTTTTAAAAGTTATTTAGGCAGAGCCATAACAAAACCAGCAGAGTCTTTTGGCACCTTAAGTGCTAACATTTTTTTTTTTTTTTTTTTTTGGCATGAGCTTTCATGGGCTATAACCCACTTGAGCAGATTTCACACTCTGTGCCTTTTGAGTTTGAAAAGGCGCTGATGTTTTCAGCTGATGTACAAGCATCCTAAGGACTAGAAGTTTCCTTAGCCTCCCTACTGCCCACTTGTCTTTATATTAATGCAGCCATTAAGCCCTGAAATTAGTGCATTATTAAGCAGGTTATTTATTTTTGAAACTGCATAGAGCTGTTGCCTTTTGTACAGAAGCTTTGTGCTGTAAATGCAGTTGGTACTTTAGTGGGGAATACTCACTAAGAGATCAGGATAGGTGGTGTCCATTATGAGTATGCCATACTGTCTGATTTCTCAAGAAGCATTTTTCAAAGCTGCTTGGACCCTGTTTCCTCACACTTTTTTTTTTTTTTACTGCCTTTCCTTGCCACCCCCCACTCCCTGCACAATTCATTGGGTTTCTAAAATCTTGCGCAGGTGAGTGCAGCAAGGTATTGCCTGTCACTGTGGGGACAGCTCCTGCCACCCAGGAAAGGAATATCTCCAGATCATGGAAGAGTTTCACTCATTCTATTTACATCATGCCCTTTTTCCTTCTTGCAAGTAGCTCGTATACATGATTATCCCCCTCCTTTCCATTTTATCTTCACAACAACCTTGTAAGGTAGGCTAGGCTGAGAATCTAAAGGAACGCTTGCGTCCATATATGCCTGCCCACCCTCTACGATCGGCAGCAGATGCCCTTCTCCGGGAACCCTCCGTGAAGGATATTAGGAGGGTGAGTACCTGGAGGAGGGCCTTTTCTGCGGTGGCGCCCCACCTATGGAATGTGCTCCTGGAGAGGTCCGCCTGGCACGTCATTATTTGCTTTTCAGCACCAGGCAAAGACCTTTTCATTTAAAAGTTATTAACTGTTAATTTATTATTATTGTATTTATAGATTTTAATAAATAGCCGAGATGGTACCAGTTTTTAAATTGATTGTATTTTATGTATGTTGTGAGCCGCCCCGAGGCTTTGTTGTGATGGGGCGGCATAGAAATGTTTTAAATAAACAGTGACAGGTCCAAAATCACCCAGTGAATTTCATGGCTGAATGGGAACTAGAACTTGGATCACCTGAGTCCCAGTGCAATACTCTAATCACTACACCACACTAACTGATGCACAAATATGCACCTGCCAGGAGTTTTACAGATGGTAGAGGATCCTCTTCTGCCCCTGGAATTCTACCATGTCACTAGTCACCAAGCTGTCTCAGATGCAGTGCCAAATCCTGGCTAGAGGAGGTGGCCATGAAATTCTTTCTTCTTACTTGGGACTTCACCTGCTCCTTCCCCCATATCCACTTCTCACAGGGGATGGACCCCTCCCTGTTTAAGAGACTGTGCTCTAAGAGGATCATAGACAGTGAACTGGTGGGAGGCTCCCATGAGTTGTTGTGGTTTTCCTGTATAGAATGCAAGTACTCACTAGTTTTTGTGGCAGAGAGGGGCAAGCTGGGAAGGGAGAGGTCTGGCTAGAATTCTGTAGTAGTAATTTCAGTGAAGTTTGGCTCTGGCAGCTTTTGCCTTGTCTCTCCCCCCCCCCCCCCCACTCTTTTAGGACAGATTTGGGATTAGAAATCATGTGCTGCTCTAAAGATGCTGTGCCTCTCAACTCTACAGTGCTAAGAGCATTGTTAAGTCTCGAGGGAGGAAAAGATGCATATATCTCTCTGCTGCCAGAACTAGCTCAGCACTGGAGTGCAACCTTAAAAACTTGTTTTGTTTCTCAACCCTTTGAACTTTTGCTTGTTTTCTTCCATTGCATGGAATGGGCTGCAGTCTGCAGACTGGATATTTGTGAGTGCAGTTAGCTTAGTTTGCTCTCCAGCAAGCTGAAAAGAAACTATATCCCAAGTAACAGGCACTATCAAGAATCCTTTGATAGATTTCATTGGTAAAAGTTGGGCTAATAAGAAAATTAACCTTATTGTTTAAAAAATGCATAATATGCCAAATAAAGGAACAATGAGTGAGTGAAAGAGCACTTAGATTCCTAGCCCTGCCTTTTCTTTTCCAAAATTATTTCTGTGGAGCTGGGCTGGACCTCTGTGCCAAATCTAGTTAGTAAATACCTGAGAGAGAGCATTCTCTGACTCCAGGCTCCATGCATTCAGTTAGGTGAGTAGCTGGAGCCTAAAATGGCAGTAGGCCTGCTCAGTTGACCAGAGAGGACAAAAGAACTTTCCTGGTTCTTTTCCCAATCTTAGGTGATTAGCAGCTGTTTTATACCAGGCTGGACAGAGCAGGGGCTGGAGCCCCAAATCTTTCCTTCAGTGGCCTGACTCCCTGAAAAGCTATGTGCACCTTTACCTTGCTGTCCATGGGTACTTGCTGAAGTATAAAGGTCCAGGGTCCTGCTGGTCTCTGTTGCAACTGACCTAGGTGACTTTTTGCCCACACATGCTTCACCTCCTGTTGTTCCTCAGATCTTGCTGCCTGAGGTTTTATTTTTGAAATCATATGCCTTCTTCTCCCACTTATAAATCTTTTGACAAATAGGGATGTCCTTAGGAAACTAGGTTTTTTAAAGACATACACACTGAGACTTCAAAGCACACGTGCATTTTTCAGTCCTGTGGGCCCAGGATCTTTTCAGTATGTTGCACTGCTTTTGGGGATGTGGAACCGCCTGTTAATTAACCTCACCTCATCTAAGGGCCATGCCAAAACTTTCCACTTTGCATTAGGAGGGTGCCTTTGAAAGTTTGGCTAGCAGGCAGTTTCCCTGTTTAGCCCTAGAACTAAAATAACACTCTGCTAGTGTAAGCTGCCTCTAGCACAATAGCAAAAGCATTTGTTGACCTGAGGCATTTCTCTACGAAAATGTTGTGCCATTGGTGTTGCGCTAGAGGTAGCTGATGCTGGCACAGTGTCATTTAGATCAGTCCTAGTACCAAATAGAACATTGCTCAGGGTTAGTTAGTGATGCGGATTTCCTGGGAAAACCTAAATTGAAAAATTAGGGCTATTTGCATAGGGGGTCCATTGCTTTTCCTGGTATCCTGGTGTAATCTAATTTCACTTGTTTCTTTTGCCAGTATCTAGTAAACAACAAAGCTAAAGTGTACCCTGTGTTAATTTCCTGTAATGATACACCAAATATTTGTCCTGAAATACTTGTGGGAGCAATTAGAGCACATGTAAGGTGTGATCTTATGCACATTCACACAGAAAAATGGCCTACAACTCTCAGCATGCCCCAGCCAGCTTTGCCATGAGTTGCAGGCCTTTACTCTGCCTAAACATGCCTAGGATTGTGCCCTTAATGCTTGAATGTTACATGTAGAACTTTTGTATTGCAATACTTGTAAAACTGTGAAGGCAAAGTGTGCTTTATGTTTATATGTAAAAGGTACTAAAATGGACATGCTAATACATTTTAGTAGCCTGACAAACTCTGCCGATAAGCACTGATCCACAGCTGTGAGCTTGCCTAGTTTGCCCTGTGCAGTATTTGCCACTGGCATGCATTCACAGTTATTTCTCCTGGAGAAAAGGAAAGCACTGGAACAGTTTTCATATCTCCTGTACATCTCTCCTTCCAACCCAGTTCTCGCTTTCTCCGGAGGGGAGCTTACCCAGTGCTAGGTGGCCTCCTGCCTGAGGAGCATTTTGGAGGTACAGACTGAGCTGATCAATGCAGATTTGAACCTCTCCTTTGCCTTCGAAGGCACAGATTGGGCTGGTTGTCAGCTATCCTGTTCTGTGCAGCATTCCCTTTTACAAGGTGACTTTCATTTTATTTTTCTGTGGGCTAGTGGCCCATAATAGGGGGAAATAGATTCTCTAAGCCTCTTTTATAGAGCTTGAAATTGGGTCTGATGTTGTGCACCATTATACCTCATTGCACCTGTGTCCATGGTAGCACACTTAGCTAGGTCTTAACTGTGCAGTTTCCGGTTCCTATCCCTGACTTCACAAGGTCCTTCAGTGCACTTTGTAGTCAAGCCACCTATCAAGAATTGGTTGGAGCCATGGTGAGATGGCTGAGCTGTTGCCTTTTGTGAGCCATCGAATGTGAACCACTGAACTGTTAAATGCATACCTCAAGCTATGCACCTGCTTGCCTGGCTGAAAAATACACAATTCTTTGCAGGTTCATTGCCTTCGAGCACCCCCTTCTAAGGAGCTTCAGGTCAGATGGGGCTGACAATACAGAGCAGCAACTTTGCAGCAGCCCAGGATGTTCCGGGTACTAGACGTAGGCTGAATCTGAGACTATTTCAAATATAATACAGAACTGTGCCCAGGACAATCCATATTATTTGTTTAAACTTTTTTATACACATTGAGAGCCAGTGTCACATAATAGGTCCGGGTTGAAGGCCCCACTTGACCATGAAATTCACCGGGTGACTTTGGGTCAGTTACTTACTCTCTGCCTAAACTACCTTACAGGGGGGTTGTTAAGAAAATAAAACAAAGTAGTGGAGGTTGACTATGTAAGCCTCTTTTGGGTTCCTTGAAAGAAGAAAAAGTGGAATTTAAATGTAATATAATATTAATACTCTGTTTTTTGAAGCAGTTTAAAAAATGTTCTATTTTATTTATATAAAGTGGACAGAAGCAGTAAAGGCAGGCCTGGGCAGAAGAAGCCTTTTAGAATAAAGGTCTTCAAATGCTGCCCAAAAATAGGGAACTGACCAGGCTTCCTTTGAGAGATAATCCTACCTTTGTAGCCTCATCATTGGGAAGGCCCTGCTTTTTAAAATCATTCTTGTATCACAATTATACCCTGCCTTTCTTCTTGCAAGGAATCCAGAGTGGCTTATAAGGTTAGGTGCCAGTCTTAGCTTAGGGTCAGTAGCAATCCTCAAGATAAAACTGACCCCAGCACATTTAAGGCTTTAACTGTAAAGGTGGTTACCAGGATTTCAACTTGAGCCTGGGAAACAAATTTGTAACCAGTGTGATTAAGATAGGTGTAATATCTGATAGCTGTGCTTTTACCATCATCTTGGCTACTGCATTTTTGTACCAAATGGTATTAGATGTAGAATTCACTGTCTTAACAACCAGTGCTCCTTTTTTTTATTTTTCAAGCAAGCTTTGCCCTTTAGGTTTGCTAAAACTGTGTGTATTCACCAAAATCGAACATCTAGCAATCAGGAACAACCCCTTCCACACACCTTCCTTTTAACACAGTTGAGGTATTGCTATTGCATGGTACTTAACAGAACACTATTTCCCATTAAAATGCTGTAGGACTCAACCCAGATGTGAAATGGACACAGCATTGCTGTGCCAACTTTTTAAATCAAGCAAAATCATCTGAACAGTTGTATGTTTTCACTTTTTGCTCATGTGCTTCTCTTGTATCCATGCATAAATGAAAATATAAAATGTTTAAAGATTAACTCAAGCAATGGATTATAAACCTACCGAGCGTGTGTGTGTGTGGGGGGGTGAAGCTGCCCCCCCCCACTTGCTTCCCTGGATAGTTGATCTGCATTATGCTTACCTTTCAAAGAGCTCTATTGATTGCAGGACCAGGAATGTAGATACTCAAAATGTGGGGTAAGCAATGTGGAAAGATGGTTGGCTAAGCCCCACATCAGAAACTGCCTCAGGGACTACTCTTCCAGGCCAGGCAAGTCAGTAGCCAGGTCCATGTGAAAAACTCACAATGTGGTTGCATTAAAAGTCAGGCAATGTGGAATGAATCCAGTTCTTAAAAATAAGAAAGGGTGGCAGAGAAGAGAGCAAATGTTGATTCTGGTGAAAACAACAAATGTGGAAGCGCTAAGGGCGGCTAAGGAACAGTTCTACTCCAGTGGGGTGTGTGAGAATGCTGTGAAATGATAGTTTTGTATAATATACAGGTTACAGACTTGAACTTGTTTTTGTGCAAGCATATGGACTGCCTTTCACGCAACTTGCGCCTGGGTTTCAGCAGGCAGAATGGAATTGCTCTCTCAGCAAGAGTGCTGGATCATTTTCAGCCCAAGGGTTGAAACATGCCATTTCATAGCCGCTTTTCAAGGGCAACAATTCCAGGATGGGCAGGGCCAAAGGCCCTAAAAATACCAGTACATTTTAGCTAAAGGTTCTTCCTGAAATAACTAAGCATGTTGACCCTTTAGCATGGGGGGGAGCCTACACAGTAACTAGGACCCAACACTAGGTGGTGAGAGCCAGGGCAGCTGTCAGAAAAACCTAGAAGGCTTGATGCGTCTCCCAAGGCGCTGGTTCTTCCTGCTTGTTGAACTGGTGGTTGCAGAACAGATTAAAGCACTTCTTGGGAATTTTGGTCAATGTCTCCCTCAAATAGCTTGCAAAATACATGCCCCCATAATCAAATCCAAAGGGCGGAAGGTATGTAGAAATTGTGGAAACATGCCAAATCCTCCTCTTTATGAAGAAAGTGGTGAGAGGGCTTCTTCTGTTGATTAGCTTACAAAGTCAGTTAGCTCTTGGTAATTAAGGAATTGAAGGCCATTTTCCTCTCCTTCCCACTCTGAAATATGCAAAGAAATTTTTATTCAGTTGTCCGGCCCAAGAACCAAATCTCAGTTGCTTACTAAGGACCCAGTCACAGGCTCCTTGGAACTTGAGGGCAAGTAGGCAGTTTTAGAAAGTGAAAGAGAAGCATCCCTCTTCTCTACCATAAGAGAAGAAAGTTGGCATTGAAAGTTGCTTTATCTGATACTAAGCTGTCCATCATAATACAGTTACAGCCAGACGAATGCTTTTTCTTGTTTGCTACAAATAGCACTTGTAAATCATGCTAAACATAGGCAGGAGGATGCTGTTGCACTCATGCCTGCTGGTGCATTTCCCACAGGGAGCTGGTTGGCCAATGTGATGGGGCACACACTTTGGAAAGAAGCCATGGCAGCTTCCCCACCTTGCCTGGTGCATGCCACTTACACACTACCTTGTTTCTGTAATTTGCCATGCATGCGTTACTGTGTCATCTGAACTTGATGAGGTATGGAAGTGGCTTCCAGACTATGCCACAACCAGTGGCTGCTTTGAGGGTTCCAGGTTTTCATGGCACAGATGAAGAATCAGTGCATGGCCAGGGCAGGGAAAAGAAGCTGCCATGGCTTCTTTCCCTTCCTTAATTGTGTGAACAGAAGCCTGGACTGGATGGACCCTTAGTCTGATCCAGCATGGCTCTTTTATTCTTATGTAAAGCCTGGTATTATGGTCCACTAAGAATGGCTATCTTTCAAGACCTTCCCATCTTCCTTCCTGTTCCCATAGTTTCAGCAGCTTCTATTGGTATCTCCTGTTGGCTGGGAATGATGGGAGTTGTAGTCTAGCACATTTGGAGAGCAATAACTCAGTGAAGGCTGTACTCATGGTACCTCACAGTCGGTCGCCTGATGTAAGCAACTCTGGTGCTACCTCAAGAGATTGTTTGGGAAATGGAGGCGAGGAAGTGATTGCCTGATCCAAGCTGCAGCTGCTCCTGAGCCTAATACACAGGGGCTTCCATGTACCTTCAGTCTCGGCCACCTGTAAGGTGCTGTGCACTGGCAGGTAGGGCTGTTCAGGCTTCCAGGACTGCAAGGGAGCCTGGGTTTGTAGTGGTAGGAGTGATCTATTGTAAGCCGTCCCAAGACATTCTGTAAGGGACAGGATAGAAAAGCTTTTAATAACTGTGTGTGTCTGGGGGATGGTTAAGATGGTTCAGAGAGCCTAGCAAAGAGGAGCTTCAGAGGAGACTGGAATAGTGGTCTTCAATTGTCTGACTAGATGCCAGGCAGAAGGGAAAAGAGACTTGTCCTCTTAATCCAGAGGGCAGGATTAGAACCAGTGGCTGGAGACTACAGAGCAGATGGTTTGGGAAGGAAGAACTTAGGCAGTGGAACAGACTGCCTCCAAAGTTGATGGGTTCTCCTTTGAACAGAGGCTGGATGGATTTCTGTCAGGGAAGCTGCAGCTGTATCTTGTGTTGCAGAGCCTGCATTGTGTGGGGTGTAGGACAAGATTTCCAAGGTTTCTTTCAGTTCTATGCCATGGCCTCTGAGCTTTTGCTATGGTCTGAAGTAAAAGGTAGAAAACCCAGAGAAGACTGAATCCAGTGTTGGTCTAACTCATTCCCATTCATTTCAGTGGGTCGGCTCTTTAGTCAGACTAACATTAGATACAGCCCACAAGTTCCGGGCCCACCCCTGATGCAGAGATGGCAGCAGGGCAAGCATTAATTTGTTGATAGACCCTTAACTTCCTCTCAGGAAAGTAATAATTGGATAATTATAGGTGCCAAGATGAGGATGATTAGACTTAATGAAGATGGGGCTTTTACACAGAGAAACAGAGCGCTCATCACTCATAGTCCTGAAGAGTGACAGGATTCCGGAGCTGAGGGAAGTAGGGAGTTGCTTTTAATGGAAACTCCATGTGACTGTTAGATGTTTTCTCCTTTCTACTTGCTTTAAAAATGTGTCTTGGACAGGGCTAGATTTAGGTTTATGCAGTTCTGTCCCTCGTTTCCATTCCATTTGTGAGAAGATGACAGAATTGAAATACAGAGAAAGGCATACATGCTGTATCTGGCAAAATACCAGGTCAGGGCAAAACTTTCCAGAATGCCAAGGAAGCTGAAAAGTTTCCTCAGTGACCAGCTAGCTCAAGATTTCAGCTTGGGCTTCAAGACCCTCTATACCCTTGAAAAGTACTGCATATTGCACTCTTGTACCAAAATGTCATGCCAATTCCCAGAATAATGGGTTAATGTTTTTTCCTTCAGCTACAGGATAGACTGGTTAAAATTCTCACCATGTATCCTACCATGTCCCCTGCTTTGTTCCATCACAGATTAGGAGCTGTGTGTTCTGGTTGAGGGCAAACGTTTTCCCCACTTTCAACAATAACTGATGCCTCAGGGAATCCCTTGCCTCCTTTCCCCTCTTCATGTGGAATGTTACCAGTCATGCATTAGCAGAGAATGGAAGCCAGTGGATGCATCCGATTTAGTGGCTTAATTTGTCAAGGCAAGCTTTGTCTTTGGTCACAGCACAGCATTTGCAAATCATCCCCCTGAAGTTGGTCATCTTTTAGAAGGCTAACAGGCTGAAGTCTAGTTCTGTCTTTCCAGAGGATGACTGGAAGGAGAATCACCGACTGGGCCAGTCCACTCCAGAGCCTTTCCCCTTGCAAGAGGTCACTGTTGGCAAAGTCCAGCTCCATCAGCTCTCCCTGAGCAGTGATGCCAAACAGGAACTTGATACGGTGCGTGGAATGAGAGGTGTTTGGGCAACTCATACTGGGAGGATTGGTTGGGTCTGTGCTTCCTTCTACATGCCCTACTGGAAACCTGGTGCCTTGCTTGCTACAGTTGTTTCAGCACTCTGATTCCAGGCCCTGCAGAACTGCAAAATCTCAGCACCGTTGCTCGTATCTGTTTCCATTTCTCCAGCTGTGCCAAATGCAAATCTACACTTTTAGAAAATTAGGTAGTATAATTCTGGGATTGTCCATCTTCAGAAGGGAGATCACATACGTATATACTTTCCTCATGGTTTGAAACATGCACAGATAAGCTCACTTTCCTTCTTGTAGAATGCCAACATGTCAGCAAGAGGGTTCAACTCTACCATTCCAATTTGTTTATCATTTTCATAGTTCCACACATAGATTTATACCCACACATTTGTACACACACATTTATCAAAAGGATGAATATATCACAGTGCCTCTGGTGGGAATGTTGGCATCTGAAGCAGGTCCAAATACCTGCATTTAACATACTATCAAAGCCAAGCTGAATATACTTGTTGGGTGACATTGCTTCTGTCTCCCACACACACAACCATCCCTGTTGATTCAGTAGCTAACTTGACTTGCTGTCTTAACTCTACTTGGCAGGCCCCTTGCCGCATGCATTTGGCGACCATCTTGCAGGAGCTGAAGGCCCCACTCTACCTGAATGGGGAAGACATCTTCATTCCCAATTGCGACACCAGGGGCTTCTACAGACGGAAGCAGGTATGGATGGAAAGGTGGCTTGGAGGTGAAGTGAGTTGCTCTTGGACTTTGACAACACGTGACCACAGAGGCAAGAATTGCCCTTGAACTGTAAGAAGATTCTTAGGCTGTGATGTCAAAGGAGGTTCAGGGTGTGCTTCTGTACCTCTGTTGTGGGAGACAACATGGAAAAGCATTGGCCTCTTTAACAGGGAAGGGATGTGTAAGAAGGCCCAGCACCAACACAGCTGCTGATGCTTGGAGACTTCCAGCAGAGTAACCGTTCTGGGCTGCAGAGCAGAGCACCTGGCTTTGCTCTGTGTATGGCAGCTGCTGGCCTTCTAAGGCCGTGGGAGTGGTTGGGCCCTGCTAGCAGGGGCAGGGTGCACAAACTGACAGGGCTGCTGAATCCAAGTTGGTTTCTGTAACCTGGTGCAATGTGGCCAAGATTCTGCTCTGCTATAAAATCCAGCTGACTGTATGCAACTTGCTCCCTCCCTGATGTTTGGAACTTTAAGCCCCAGCCAATGGAGCCAGTGGCCAGGGATTGTGGGAGTGATAGTTTGAAATATCTGGAAGGCATCAAGTTGCCCAACTCCACAGTTACATATGGTGTTGGAATCCAAATGCTTGATGCTCAACTGATGCTTGTACAAATGGAGCTGGTGGTTGCGTTGCTGAAGAGGGCTAGCAGAGGGATTCTGTTCCTTCCACGTGTGCTACTTAATAGAGGACCTTGGCTGCCCTCCTTGTTTACTCTTGCAGTGCAAACTGGTGAATGTTTGTGTGGAAGTAAATCCTGCTGAATTCAGTGGCATAGACTCCCTTGTGACCATTACTGTTAAGGATTGTCATTCTTGTCCTTGGTTTTTTTCCCCTGTCCGTTCCACTCACTCGTTTTGCCCCATGAGCTTCCCTGTACTGCTTGGGCTTTTAGCATTCTCTGTGTCATTCCTGCCTTCATGGGCACTGGCTTCGCTGAGGGGACAGCAGGAATGGCAGAATTCAGGGCCTAGTGAGCTCCTCGTTCTCCAGTTCCTACACCTTTACTGCTGAGGGCAGGGCTAAGTAGTGGCAGAGTCTGAAGTTATTCTGAGTGCATACAAACGTAACCAAACCCAGAAGGGATTGTAGATATTTTCCCAGTCAGGTGAGGCCTGCTTCATTAGCACAAGTACTGAGTGGAAATTGCACATGGATTCAGCCCCTCACCCCAATGCCTTAGGTCAGCACACCATTCATTTATTGGTTTGCTTCTGCTTTTTGAAAAAAGAAAAAAAATGCTCTGAAGGGTGGGTTGGGTTGGCCTCATGATGTTATGCAGGGCTAGCCAATCAGGGTCATGCACATTCCCTTCCTAAAGTGAATGTGTACATCTGAAGTAAAAGGAGCACGAGTGCTACTTCTCTGGCCTGAAGACACAAATACATCTGTATGCCTCCTGGACCACTTGGGACTTGCTGAACAAGAAATAAGCCATTCAGTTTCCAGCATCTGCACTGTCATTCTTCAACATTTGCCCTTATTCATTGGCTTTGCCCTTCTTTTATTTTTATTTCCTTTTCACTTTTTTTCTCCCTTGGAAGCAGGGCTTAACTTGAGCCAAACATCAGGGAGGGAATATATGGATTAGAAAAAAAGATGTCTGGGAGCATATGCAGAGTGCTTTGCCCTCTCTCCTAGATAGCTGCAACCAGCAGCTACAACCATTAATGCAATTTTCCTCCATCCCAGCTAATGCCAAAGAATTTTTGCTTGAAAAATTGCATCTCTGCTATTAAGAACAAAACTGTTCTATGTTGCCGCAAGACATCACAAAAATGTGGGTTTAAATTATAGCTCTATAAACATAAAATCAAAATCCTGTCATTACACTATTCATTACAGCTTTTTGTAAAAAGGGAAATCTGTTATCATGAATTTGTACTTTCTGTATCTTCTGGAGGGCATTCCATGACAAAAGCAATCCTTCCCTGGGAGGTGCACATATAATTGAATATGCATTCCTTGCCTAACACTTCCACCAAAAGGAGCACCTGTGGAAGAAGAAAAAGTCAGTATTGCTTGGCAAAGGTGTGCTGGGATCTTCTCCACTGAGGCATTGCCATGGAAGGTAGTTGTCCTGGTCGCTTCTCAAAGACATTGTCCCAGAGAGCGATACGCCACCTGAAAAGTGTAGATGCTGACCCCTCCTTAGTCTAGGTAGTCTAGACTAAGGCCCATGTCTGCTTGATAGCAGCCATCCTGTCCAGGTAAAAGCAGAGGGCCCTGCACACAAGTGGTTCTCCTGGGGATGGACTGGACTGGGACAAAAGGAGGGCAAAATCACCTGCTGAAAAATATATAACCTTAGGCAGAAAAGATGGATCTACTCAAAGTACCATTTTGACCTGATGGAGCACACAAAACTAGGAGTCAGTGAACAACACCCTCACCTCAGGTGGCCAAAGTGTTAGCTGTGAGGAAGATAGTCCTAATCATCAAAATTTTAATGGGACATGTGTTCAATGGCTCAAATCAAGGTGCCATCAGAGTTTCAAGAACCCCTGTCAGGTTCCTTGTGGGAAAACTAGGAAGAATCCATGGAAGGTTGACTCCATAAGAAATCACCAAATGTGGAGAGGGTTAGCAAATGACCCCCATCCTGTTGCAGCTTAAAACATTGTTCAAAGCTGCTACCGGCATGTAAGTGTGCTAGCCCTGAGCCTTTTTAGCAGTCCTTCCTGAAGTAATTGCAGAACTAATGGCTAATCTGTCTTCCCTGCAATCTATTTGGGTCTTGATACCAAGAAAACGAGGCCTTTGATGTATCATTGTACACCAGATGTATGCTGAGAGGCCAAAAAGGGTTAAAGACCTCATCTGACTATGCAAGGTGGCCTGTGCACCTCCACTCAATCTCCAGGCAGTGAACTGAAAAATTTCTGTCTCTGGAACGCACCAAGGGATCCAAGATTCCAAGTTCCTGCATACAGGAAGGTGCTAGCTTCCCTGAATGATCAGGTCCACCACATCCATGAATCATGGTCTCTGTGGCCAGTGTAGAGCTTCCAGGAGCACTTTGGCTGCTTGACTGTGTTAGAAAATACATGGCGCTGGAATCCCTGGGGCCACAGACTGGTCAGGAAATCCACTCCTACCCCTGCACAAGGGTTTTTTTTAACATGGAGAGAGACATATGGGCATTTTCCAGTGTGGTGAAGGGATCCATGAAGAGCTTTCTGATCAGAACTTTACATAAGAACAGCCAGAGTGTAAGCTCCAGAACCTTTCAGCTGCTCAGCCAGTCTTCATTTGTGCTGTTTCTGCAAGATGGACTGCCATGAAAAAGATTTTCCGCTGCCCAGTTCGGTATCTCTGAGGTTTCCTTGTCTTGCCTTCCTGATTATGCACCTTTGAGCTTGTTTAAAAAAGCTTTGGCTGACATACTGTCTGTTCCAATCAGCACACAGCTGCTGCTGATCCTGGCTTCAAGATAGAAAAGTGCCAGTTTTTTGGCTCTCAATTGTAGAAGATTGCTAAGCTGGAACCCCTGTGCAGACCACACTCCCTGGGCCACCAGATGTGCTTATTATCCCATCAGTCTGGCATTGGTTATATGGACCTTCCTGGCTGGACTTGCCCGACTGACTCTTACGGACAATTTTTTGGGAAGGTTGGGTCAGACACCATTCTTTGAAGTCTCTGTGCATTCCACATATAGACTCTGTGCCTGTTCCAACTGTTATAGAGACTGGGATAAACCATAGCACTTTCCTCCTGATTTGCCATAAGTCCACAGCTGTTGAGAGTCTACTGTTGTCTGAACTTCTTGTATCCTTTTCCACCAGGAAAAACTTGATGAGGATGATGTCAAAGTAGGGTAGAGTAGGTGCCCTCTCCCGTCCATAGATGGGCCACCAGGGTCACCAAAACTTTGATGAAAACTCTGGGAGCTGATGTCAGGCCAAACAGCAGGGGCCCGTGCTGGAAATGTCTGACTCTGTATCTGAAGTTTAGGAACCTGCAGGGTCAGATGGGCCATTCTGGACCTGAAATATCTGGTCTTCCCACTCCTCTGGGGAACCAAGAAAGAAAACTAGAGTAGACCCTCTGTGCATCTCCGATGCAGAGGGAGAGAGACTACTGCTCCATTGTCCTGGAGATAATCATCTTCAATGTAGCCTGATGTTGTGAGCCCTTGAGAAAACCAGAAACATGTCCATGGGGTGAAAAGTAGACTCCAGGATAAATCTCTGGCACACCATTTCCCTGACCCAGGAATCAAAATGTATGATTTCCTAGAATGAAATAAAGCTGCAGAGATGGCCCTGCTTTTTCTCAGACAGAATCATGGTGCCACGTAGAGTGAGGCTTCTTGCTTTCCTGTCTCATGTCAGTCTGCTTCACCCAAGCCAAAAACATTGGGATGAGACTAGTCTGGCACCAAGGGGGACCTGGACTCGACCATGTGGAACCCAGTCTAATGCTTATTCTGAGGATGGATCCAATGGACACTCACCCGGCAGTGCTGTCACTTCTCCCTTCCCCAGCTCTTTGTTGTTCTGGTGTTATCAGCCATGTTTTGCCCTGAACTCCAGATGGGCAGAGGCAAGATGTTGGTGGGGGCAGCAGTGATGGACAGAACTCTGCATCAGTTTTCCAGAGAGAAGTGCAAGACGCTGTTCTTCATGCCTGAGGGAATGTAGAAACCAATGAAGCCTTGCAGGGCAAGAGCGGGGAAGAATCGGATGACCAGCTGAGGTGTACTTGGTGCCAAGGGCAAATAAGGCCTCTTGGACCAGCTGCCCCCTGCTTAGCAGAGGTATGTGCAGGAAAGCCTGCTTAGAATTTGGGAGTCTTCCCAAGGCGAGAATCTGGCAGCCTTATTTACAGTCATGTAGAGGAAAGAGTAGCTTGGAGGGCAGGAGCATTTAGGTCCTCTGTGCACCTGCTGCAATGAACTCAGTCATTTGGCTGTTCCCCAGTTTAGGGAGCACATGGAGAGGTGGTAGCAACCCCATTGGTCTCTTTGCTGCTGCTGTGAAGAAGGCAAGGGCCGAGCTGCTTCCTAGTTAGAGAACAGCTGAGGTGGAAGCACTACTGTTGCCTTCCTCACTGCGGAGAAAAGCCAAGAGCCTGGCTATATCCTAGGAAGGAAAGGTACAGGGCTTGGGCAACCAGCCTGCCAACACACTTTCACTGGCCAGCCCATTCTGGAAGGGTCTCTTCTACCATTTTCTGTTGTAGGTAGCCCATCTCCAACCTCTAACTAGCCAGAAGATATGAGGGGTGGAAAGGGATTGGGAGAAGATAGCTGGAAATGGCAGAATGATAGTTTTTCCTTTTATTCTATCTTACTTAGCTTGTACAACTTAGCGTGGATCTTGTTGAATCTAGGAAGTGTCCTGTAACTGTTCCTCATGAAGAGGACTGTTTGATTGGACCTTGTCTATCTGGGGCGGGGGATCCAGGCAGTTGAGCATACAACTGCATAGGGTTGTTCTGCTGCTGAGGAATTACACACTTGCATCTCAATAATTAAAAGGAAAGATGTTCAGAATGTTGAATTCTGTACCCTGTATCAATTCTATAACTGCAAAGAGAGATGACCTGGAAGTGGCTTCTAAAACTTGGGTTGCAGTAGTAGACCTGAGGCTTTGCAGAGAGGTATCCCAGCTTCAGTCGGTGGTCCATTCAACTAAAAAAAGGCATGAAATGGTGAGCCTTTGACAGAACTTTCACTACATGAACCACACCAGAACCAGATCGACAATAGTGGACTAGGTCATCTGCTTGATCTTTGTGATGGGTACACTATAATTCAGTTGCTCCTTATCAGGGGGAGAAAGATATTACCTCCCCTTTGCAGAGCTGTGGTGGGATCACTCCCAGTGGAGGTGAGTTGAAGGAAGTCAGATTTGCCTGCCCTTGGGAGAAACTGCTCAGTACATCTTGGTGCAAGTTACTGCTCCAGGCTTGCCTCCTTCCTGTTAGGGCAAAACACAAGAGGTGCATGTGGCTGGGCAGGCAAAGCTTTTAGGATAAAATTTCAGCTTCAGCTTGATTTTTTTCCCACTTCTCCTAATTGTACTTCTAGCTGAGATTGTTCTTTGGCTCATTCATCTTGCACTTTCCAATCAATCACAAGTAAAGAATTCCAGAATCTCCCTAGAAGCTGCTGCTTCTAGTCCTTAAAGATTCAAGGATGCTGGTGTTGCAATTGATGACTGGCTGTATCATTTTTCTGTTAATGTCTTTCTTTAGTGTCGGACATCCAAAGGGCAGAAGAGAGGCCAATGCTGGTGTGTGGATAAGAGGGGCCATCGGTTGGAGGAGCTGGACAAAACCCCCCTTTGCCTGCTTGGAAACAGTGACTGAGTGGGGTTGCGGGGTACGCAGCACTTCAGCAGCAGAGATTCGATTAAGAGGAATCTCCCTACTAGAATGGTCACAGAAGTGTTTGCTTTTAACTTATTGTGTGGCTGCTGCCTGCATTCCCTGGTGTAACCTTGGAGCAGCTGTTGTGTTTGATGACAACCCACAGAAGGGTGGAGCCGCCTGGAGGGGCTGCTTCAGGGCAACAGCAGACAAGACAGGAAGCTTTTAACTCCACGACTGAAGATGCTTTGTTGAATAAGCTATCGATGACTGCACTGGCACCTTAACCAACTCTATTTGATAGATGTGGCATGTATCACAGGTGCTAAACCAGAAGGGGGACATGAGTTGCCAGATACTGGGCTTGGGATGGGTGTGCATACAGTTCTCAAGAGTGCTTGGAAGGTAGTACAAAGTTTCAGCTAGTGTCGACCAGACTAAGCCAAGGTGGATGTGGCTAGGAAGAACTGGAAAAGTTATGTGATGAAAGGAGGAGCCTTTGTGAAAAGGATGAAGTAGGCGACAGTGGAGAGCCCAACAGGGCACGGAACAGGTCTTCATTCTGTTGTCAATACCTACAGTCAGAACAAGATGGTGGGAAGAATAGTGGATGCACTTTGGGTCGACACTCATGAAGAACCCCTTCATACCAAAACCTGCCTTTTTCTCAATTTCACCTCCAAGTTGCTTAATGACCTCCACACAAGCAGAAAACAGGGAGGGCTACCTGTGCATGGTAGGAATGGCTGATGGGAAGGTCTGAGGCTGCCTTCCATACCAAGGAGCAGTGTATGATGGATCTTTCCCTATTCTCTACAAGGGTCTTTAACTTGTGCATTTGGAGAGGATGAATTTGGCTGCTGTATGTTTCACTCAATGGCTACAATAAATCTGGTAACTATTAGAGCTTGCTGCTACTTTCTGTGAATGACATGTTGTGTCTTGTGAAGATTCCCCATAAAGAAACTGAAAAGGGTTTTAAAAATCCCTTCCTGCAATAAACATTTGAAAACAACTAAGGGGTTGTAACTGCACTTGGCAATTAGAGCTATACTCAAAACTTCATTTTCATTGGCAAGTACTTCTCTTAGCTGGCTAGACTGTTTATTCACAGCATACTCAAGACAACAATTATTTCTCAGTTTTGTTTGCCACTAAATGGGCTATTAAAATTGGAGGCTACTGTTATCAAGTTAAAGGCTGCAGCCATTGTTCTTGCATGTGCTTGCAAAGCAAAACGAAGTTGAAAGATTGGAAGTGAAAGTGAAGGCTCCAGTTCTGTTTCTGGCATTCAAAGGTGCTCCAAGTGGATGCTGTCTTACATTCTAGTAGTCTAGCTACCTGTTCATCCCTTCATGCACTGTGTAAACATAGAGACCATTTGTGGTTTCTCCACTGTGCTCATCTGGAAGGAAATTAAATACTTGCAGCACTGCCCCTAGAACAAGAACAGGCAAAGTTTTCAAGTCTCTGGATATTTGAATACCTCCACAAAATGGAGGTACTGCAGATGAAAGCATCTGCCATCCAAATCTCTCTCAAATGTTTCTAAGCTTCAACTGTGCCCTAGAGACAAGTTTATGACAACAGCTAGAGTCTCAGCTGCCAGTAAGAAACTTAATTTTCTAAAAAATGGGAAGGGTAGGGCACCTTCGTGGGTATGATTGCCCAGCTCATCATTACCTAAAACATGAGTGCTTGGAAGCAGAAAAACGTAACAGAAGGACAATCTCCTGTCCAGGGAGGGTGGGCATGGGCTGAAGGGCTGTGTTACTGTAAACTTTTCTTGCATATATTCCTGATGAGCAGGGTTCTTATAAATTAACTCACCTGGATGGGGTAGAGAAAGGAGCCAAATGCAAGGAACGAACATTTGGTTGCCTGCTCCTCTAAGTATCTTGCGGTCTTGGAGCTGGATTATTCAGGAACAGTTGGGAAGGACTCTAGATAAAGTGGAAAAATTGGCATAGGATGCAGTTTTCAACAGCTTCAGGGGAAAAAAAGCAAGTTTCTAAACCTCAGGATTAAAAACTTTATAAGAGCAATGCCTGCTCAAGTCTGAAAGTTTAGAAAGCTATGCAAGATTGTTCATGGTTGAGGATATGGGCATTTCAGGATCTTTTTCTTCCAATTAGAAACCCTGTCTGGAAACCTACTTAGCTTGTAAGACTTGTACACAACACCACCAACTTGTCTCAGCAGTGTGTCACCTAAATGCAACTTTTTAAAGCACACTGTGTTTAGGTCTGGGCCAGCTACAGCTAAGAAACCACAGCAGATCCAAAATTAAGTTCAATGATTTTCTTGTGTTTGGATCACATGCGTTCAGTGCTGAGTCCAGTTTGCCTGCAAATCTTACATCTGCAATAAACACATGGAAACTGCATGTACTTCATCTAGACCACTCCTTGCCAACAGAAGCGGACAAGCACAGTGCTGAAAAAGAGTAATAGCCAGAAAGTACACAACTTGCCACCATCTGGAAGATGTTCTGAATGGAGGTGGGCACACTGTGACCCTCCACGTATTTTTGACAAAAATCCCTTCACCCAGCAACCTTGACTAAAGCTTTGGTAACACTTCAGATATTTTGACATACAAGTTGCTCACTCTTGACATATACATCTAGGGTTCATTTAGAGATAGTTCAAGTACTTCCCCAGTACTGAGCTTCCTGTTCAGTTAGTATGATCAGGACAATAGGGTTAAGATAACACCATCACTTTAAAGACACACAATAAACCTGGTAGCTCCCAGTTTGTGTCTTGCCAAACGCAAGAGAGGCTCACAGGTAAGTCCATCACTTGACTCGCATATCATAGTTCACCAACTTGTGGCCCTCCAAATCCTTTTCAGTGAATTCACTTAAAATTTCAAATGGACAACGTATCAAAGGAAGTACTTACATCAACCAACCTTCTGAGTAACAGCAACATGGAAGGAAATTCTTAAACTCTCAGAACAAACAGTTATTCTGAACAGCCAAAAGGCAAACATTTTATGACCAACCTTAAGCAGAGGCTTTTTGTCCTAAGACTTACGTGTGCACAGATAAGGCCAGTATTGTCTATTCACCTGCATGGCATCCCACAAGAAAGCTTTATGGCTTGATTAAAAATAGCCCTCACAACCCAAAAGAATATTGAGACCACAGTGTAGAGTACATTCTTTGTCAAAAATACATTTATTTTTAATATTGATGTATCTCAAATAAAAACAGGCCAACAAGAATAATTTAAGAGTAATGTCTAGAGGAAATTTGATCTGTATTAGGAGATACTCCAAGAATCTGTCATAGCCTATATTCCACAGTGAACAAGATATATTGCATTGATCAAATATTTAGACCTGCTCATAAAGTGAATTTTAGCCAACTTAAGTTGGAGAACTCCGCACTTCCTTTAGTGCCAATGTATGGGAAAGACAACAGTGCCATTTTGCACATAATGGTTTTCATAAAGTGGGAAGCAACATTCTTGTTTTAAATTTTAAATAATTTGTGTATTATAGGTATAACTGTAGGTCAGATACTTTTCTGACTGATTTGATCTCTCTAGTATGAGCAAATGGCATGAGCAATTCACTCTCCCATTCTAATTTTTAAACTAAAAAAACCAAGAGGATGGATCATACTGTCTTCACAACAGTGACTGAGGATGCTACAGAACTGGCAGCCCTATGACATTTCCTCCCAAAACAGGTGTGACAAAAGTTACATCCCCCCACCCATTTTGTTCTCCCGTGTTACTCAGAGAGTAAGTAAAACACTAAGGCACAATTAACCTGTCAAGTTCTGATGTGCCAGTAGTTCTATTTTGAGAAATCTGTTCATGAAAGGACTTCAGAGAGCCCCATACCAGGCACTCTTGGAAGTTCAGACTTCAATGATGGCAGGAAAAACATCCATGTTGAAATTGTAGACCTTTGCTATATTTTTCTGTAAAGCTCTCTAAATTTGAAAAGACAGTAAACAGGAAGGCAGTATGTCTTTTAATTCTGGTTTTAGAAGCATGCCTTCTAAAAACACATGTTCTATAACATAAGAGGCGGTGGCAGAATTTTGCAGGCTTAGTCAAAACAGTTTCAGGTTCTCTGTTAGCTTATACTGAACCCCTGCTGATAAAAGAGCAAGTCCCTCCATACCCAATTTCAGCAAAGTTGAAAGAAAGCAAGCAAGCAAGCAAGCAAGCAAGCAAGCAAGCAAGCAAGCAAGCAAGCTGGAAGGTAAAACTGAAAATACAGCATCAGATCTGCAAATCTCACAACAACAGAGGAGGGAGGAAATGCTTTAAAACAAGAAGCCATAATTTAAATCCCATCCTAGGCCCAGTAATCTTTGTTGAGAGCAAATAGCAGGACCAGTAAGAGGAACAGTAGTTTTTGTTGATAATGAATAGCAGCTTTGGGGAGCTGTACTCTGTAACACCTGTTGCAAGAAGTTCCCTACTACCAAAACTTCACTCAGCTTCTATTGAACACTCACGTAGAAAATTGCAGCAACATGAATTACCGCTAGGGCAAAGATGGACTACCTGTGAAGTAGGTCCACATCCAGGCAGTCCTGCTGTGGAACTCAAAGCACTGGCTACCCAAGGGAAGAAAAAATCCAAGTTGCTCTACAAGATGCCTAATACATTCAACACAAGAGGCATTCAAGCTGAAGCAATTCCCTTTCACAAGGCACATCATTAAAAATAAATTTATCCTCACTGGGGGGATGGTGCACATGTATCTGAGATACAGGGATACTTGGTTGTGCAGAGTGTGTGACAAGATCTTCAGCAACAGTCATCAATCTCCATGTCCCACTAAGTTGGGGAAAGCTTCAAGCTAACATACACACAAACTAAAAAAACAAAATAACACTGTCGTCATAGCTTATTTCCATGTAGACAAAATTCAGATTCAGCCAACACACAGAGTCTAGGTCAACTGCTGAATCCAGAAGTGTTTGAAAAGTAATGAAATAAGCAAGTATTGCTCACTGAACAGCAAGCTCAGGGGGTCCTGGAGCAAGAAACAAACTATCATAGACCCCATACAGTGCTTGGCCTCAGAGGGCAGCACTATGTCCTTCCAAAGAACAAGGCATGATGTAAGTTATGTCAGATTGAGCTGGACATTAGACACCAACTCTTTTAAGACCTCAGTGGCCTGTTGTCAAGATGAAATAATTCACCATTACATGCAAATAGCCATGAACCATCACATTGCTTGACCTTATTCACCTCAGGTGGCCCTCAGTTCTGGTCAATTTGTAGTCCAAAAAACACTTGGTTCTGGACACTGTGGTCCGTCTCAAGTGCATTTCAGTTCACATTCAGTTCAGTCACTGGAATGGATGGCAGGACTTTAATAGCCTGCACTACCCATCCCTTCCCAGAGTTTAACAAGCAACCACCCATTGTTGGGCAGATGTCATATACACACACTTTGCACACACAGGCACAAGAGAGCAGCAAAAGTGTAATTCCCCCTGTTCAATTGTCTGAATGCCAGTCAGTTCTATTTTGGAAACTTTGGTGAAGCTGGGGCCATGAGATGTCCATGCAATCCTCCTCATCAAAGCCGTAGTCTCTCTCCTCACCTTCCTCTTCATTGCCCTCTTCAAAGAGCTGTTCCTCCAGAAAGGAACTCCCCAACCCATATTCCTGCTCATGGACAGAGACCTCATTGGGGATGACATGTGAGGCACCTTCTATAAAATCAGCAAATCTGGAGGAAAGACAAGAGAGCAGTGAGGCCGCTGCAGCAACCCGCTGTTCCCTGACCACTACTTGTGCCATGCAGCAGAGTTCTGATGTATTTGCCATATAAGCAAGTGTAAGATGAAGTCCAGATTACATCTGTGGACGGGTGAAAGCCTTATTGTATGTAGCATGTACACAAGAAAACTTGTAAGACCCAGGTCCAGTGCCCTTGCCTAGGATAAACCTAGTACCCTGTGATCAGCATCTGAGGACCTTCTCCAAGTGCTTCCCCCAAAGGTGGTTTGGGGGATGATTACAAGGAGGCTCTTTTTGTTGCTGGTCTCCCAGTTATGGAAAGCTCCTCAGTGAGAGTTGCCTAATGCCAATGCTGTTGACTAAATGACATGATGTTAAGATTTCTTTCGGTATATGATGGACTGTTTAATATACCAGTTGAGTTGCTTATGGCTTTCATGGTAGTTATTTTAGGAGGTGATTTTATTCTAACAGAAAAAAGTGTCCATATAGAATATATAAATTTTATCCAAAGAATAAGGAGCATCCATATGGTAAATGCTCTGGGCATACAGAGCTGGCAGAAAAGAAATCCAGTTTCAGTTCTGAATGACCTCTCCTATGCACTCTAGATCCACCTCTCTCCCACAGCTGGGTGTGCAAGTTGGATGTCCTTCTTAAGGCTGCTAGATGATAAAAGATTCCCATAGCACAATGTAGCTCACCCCTCCCATTTGCTGATCTTCTAAGGCAGTACCTCTTTGGAGACTGGATGCGGGAGACTGTTTTCCACACAGAGAACTCTGGGCTGTTGCAGTACTTCCTCAACTCCTCCAGGGCTTTGCGTGTCTCTGCTTCCCCTTGTATCCGGTACTCCTCCTCAGTTAGCAGACGTGGAGGGCTGGGCTTTTTTTTGGCTGTGAGCAGCTTCCTGCTAGAATACCAATGGCATTATTGGCAGCCACAATCTGAACGTCAAAGTTTGGCACCTTGGAACAACTCCCAAGCAGCTCACGAGACAGTGTTTGGCCAGATTCTTTCCCAGTTGTATCCTACATTCATGTCAAGCTCAAGGCCAAAGGCACTAACTGCTGCCAAAAGCTAAGACAAGGTCTTGTTGGGAGAAATTTCCTTGTGCTGCTATTACTAGATTATCATGATGGTTCTTTCAAACCAAGTGTCATGCTGTACAAATATAATTCACTCTGGTTCAGTGGAATGGCATGCTTTATAATCAAATGTATGGTCTTCAGGCATGTGAACAGGCCTCAGCCTTGCATATAATTTTCTTACAGAAGACCCAGAGACCAAATCCAGATTTTGTTCTTACATGTGTAAGAGATTTGGTTTTAACTCTAAGCATTTATGCTTTGACAAGTCTCATGTCAACTTTGTCTTCACTACTGTAAGAAAGAAGTGCTTTACTTTAAGGTATCTGCCAAACCACCTTTTAAGATATCGCTGGATAAATTGCTCTCAAATGCGCTGCTGAACGGTCCTATTGAACTGTGACCATCCCACAGAGGAAGAGATTTAGATAAGGGTCCAGGCTTCCAAAGAAAATGCCAAGTTTTCTCATCTATCTTGTAAATGCCCTTTTGCAGGTGCCACCTAGTGGTATTTTTTGACTGAACAGTCACAATCTGTTATCTATCCATTTATTCATATTCTACTCTTAGCATCCTGGATAAGCCTTTGACATGATTGGATAGCAAACTGTGCCTTAATACCTAATACCATATTGAACAGTATCAGCTGCTCCGTTCTCAGACCAAGTTTCTTTCAGCATCATCCAGAGGAAGGAGACAGTGAGGCCCATTCCACTGCACTGACTGTGCTAGGACAAACTGACATCTGGTTCCTCCTTCCCCAAAACTGTCTCCTCACCTGCCACTCCAAATAGTCATTAGAAGAAACATAACTTCTTTTTCTATACCCTCATGAACTGATAGCTGACTTTGCTCCTTTCTCACTAGCCTCCCCATTCTGGTCCCCACTTCATAACTTGTGAGACTGTGGGCAGGGACAAGCTCCCTTGTTTCTTCATTTCTGTACAGTTCCTCAAAATGGTAGGTTCTTTATAAAACATTTTAATTATCACCACCCTCCGCTGAGCCACTTGTTCTCTACTAAGGTGTCCAGATTCTGGCATAAACAGGCACAGAGGCAGTCAACTAATTTTGACTGTATGAATATAAGCCCCTAAAGAGAGCCGATTCAGCTTGCTACCTCCTTTGATTTGTAGTGTCTTGGATAAGTTGCCAAATCCCTCTAAAGGCCTCTGCAAAAGTAGTTATCCCTATTTAATTTATAGACAGACTGAAACCACTCACTTACATTGTACTGGCCTAAGGCAGCCTTCCCCAACCTGATGCTCTTCTGATGTTTTGGATTCCAATTCACATGAGCTCTAGCAAGCATGACCAATGGTCAGGAATTCTGGAAGTGTAGCCCAGATAAACTGCAGGGCATCAGGCTGAAGAAGACTCGCCCAGGGTTATAAACAATACAACTGAACTATAGACTTAGAATGGACCGAGCTATATACTGAGTGGCTGCTGGATAAGAAATCTTACTAGCAATGTCAAAAGTCTCTGTTCTGAGTACATGCATGTACACACACACACACACACACACACACACCTCCTACTAAACTATTAACACAGCTCTCACTGGAATGAGCCATCTAGGTGGAAAAATGGCTATGCTTCCCATCTGTCACCTGTAGACGGCATAGGCCCATATGACTGGGTACTCCAGGTTTTTAGTACAGATTGCAATTATGATCAAGGCGATGGCGATTTGCCGTATCTGAATGCCCAGGTAGAGGAGCAACAGGCCAAGGAGCTGCAGACCCCAAGAGAGGAGGTTGATGCTGCGTTCATTCTCCAGAGGGCCATATTTGTAGCACACGCCAAAACTGATACAGCCTACAACAATCAGGTAGCCTGTGGAGGGGAGATAAAAAAGAAGAGAAAGGCACAGCAAGGATTATTTTTCCTGGATTCATCACCCTTCCCAGTGAGTGAATGAGTGAGTATAAAAGTATGAATGAATGGACCGTGCTAGGAAGTGAGATACACTGAAAATTCAGCCAAAAATAAGAGGTTGGTTTAGAATGTATCAGTCCTCCTGTTACAGAATATAGAAAGCAGCAACAACTTGGATCTTTTTTACTTTTGCAAGTTTCTGAACCAAAAATAATCTTCAAATAGATAGAATGACAATCAAGAACGAGTGCTATTAGACAGATGTCTTGTGTACTTGTGTTGCATGCTTGTCCTAACATAAGGTATTACAATAACTCCTCCCCTCATTCCCACCAACATATAAACACACACACACAAGAAACCATTTAGCTGAAGCCCAAGATGGTTTTTTGTATGACCAACAATAAAAATTGCACAACTAGCAGCCTCAACAAGTTGTGTTTAGAATGTATGAAATCCATCAGTAACACTAATGCCATAATTTCTTCCTTAGTGCACATTCCCAACACCTTGTACTACCAAGGAGTGACAGACAAAATATCAGATTTTCTGTAACTTCAAATCCTGCATGTCCAGAGTTTGCTGAGCGTTTTTGTCTGAGTTTGATGGGCCTTAATGACCTGCATTATGCAAGCGAACTAGAAGACAACACATTTCAGAAGTTATATACTTCATGAAGTATGGAAGCTTTAGGAAACAAACTCCCAGGATTTCCTAAGCAGGTTTGCTTAGAGATATACAAAACATTCTGAGGCTGTGAAGTTTTGATCTAGAGATCAGGAGGGCCAGCACTCACCCAGTAGGTATTCCCAGTATAATTTACAGATCTCCTGCAGGTTTCTGAAGACGAGCTGTAATAAGTAGACTGAAAAAGACCAGCTTCCCAAAAGCATGAGGTAGATGGGACTTTTCTAAGAACCAGAAAGAACAGTCTATTATCATAAGATTCATAGATTTAAAACAATTACTACTTGGCATAGAAGAAAATGAAATACATTAAAACATAACAAACATTTAAATACAGTCTATTTAAAATATTTATATAAAACACTGATAAAAACTGGAAAACAAATTCAACACTTCAAATAACTAAGCCACAACTGTCTTAGAAGCAAGTGATTTTGGCATTCTTAGAATGAGCAGACAGTTCAACTTGCTCAAAGAGCGGCACATGCTGCTGCTATGCAATTGCCATGTGCAGTACCAAAGCTTCTTTCTTTGAACTCCTCCTACCAGGACTTGCACAGCACTGTTTCTTTGGGTGGAACGCCTATTACTCCTAATTATGTGAAACAATTCATTGGGCATATAACACCTGCTTCTTACAACAGCGAGAGAAGCGGCAAACTTATGTGTAGAGTATCTCTCTTCAGGTTACCGATAGGGATCCACATGACACAATACCCTCTTAGCAAAACGAGCATGAAAAGGAAGGTTCATACACACACAGCACATCAAAAATAAATCAGATTTCTCTGGTCAAAATTGCTGGGCTTGTGCTGCTACCACAATGGGAACACATTTTTGACATTACAATTTTACAGATTCTAACGAAAGCATGCAAAGACGTTCCTCTGGATAGCCACATATTAGACAAAAACTGAGTCAGACAGGATGCCATAAGGATCAGAATGGTGTGAGGAGGCAAGTCCTACTTCCCCAGCCACCTCAAGCGCATATTCCTCCTTTACTTACAGGCCGTTTTCTATGTTCCTCTCAATGAATATTTATAATTGCTGCCATTTGCACATACCCAGGAGTTCCACTGTACAAGTCTCCTTTGTCTGCTCATCCTAGTTTTGGCTGGTCATGTTTCTTTAGAAGCAATGACCCACCAGTGTCCCTTTTGCCAACCCTAGGAAAAGCAGCTTCCTCAAGAGCTGAAGAAAGCAGGACAAAAGTGGTATAAAAATATATTCAACTATTTACTCCTTTTAAACTCAGAATCCCTTAAGAACTCCAGGTGGTGATTAGGAAAGGAACAATGTGGATAGCTGAGCTGTGCCAGTGATAGTTTTGTACAGCACAGACTGAGAAGCCTGCATGCCTACATGTTCTCAAATTCAAGAGGTGGATGGCCTGAACGGGACACCTGAAAATAAAATTTGCTTAAAATAAGCCAGCATTCAGCATGTAGCTTTCAGAATGCTTGCTACTGAAGTGTTTAGAACAGCCGATAGAAGAGTTTTTACTCACCTTGGGCACCATTCTGGATAATATGTAGATGGTGATGAACAGTGAACTAAACATGCCAATGCTTACTCCAGCTGAATAGAAGAAAAATGGGCTTCTGCAAAGACAATAGTTATCTCAGTTATAGAACAGAAATAACATCTATGTACACAAAGTTTCTGTTGGAAGCAGCAACATATGCCATAAGAATGAGGGCTAAGAATACACAAATTGTTGTTGGAGTCCAAAACCTTTGGCTGGCCTTTTCTTAATGTTTTTAATTGAGAAGTTCAAATCAAAATCCAATCCCAGACAAACGAATGAACAAACAAAAAGTAAGAAGGAATAAAATTACAATTAAATATTGCAATTTTCTTATATAAGACTTAAATAAATGTTTTACACTGAATACATACTATGAACCATTATATATTTTATATAAAGCAAGATATACTGTTATTACTGAAAATAGTTATGATAGGCTTCAACAAAAACAGGCCAAATATCCATATATTTGTCCATTTGTAAATGATGCCTAAAAACATTCATTTGAAAGTTCAAAGTTTCATTCAGTCCTCCACCCACTGTGTTATCGCAGGTGGCCATTTATCTTTCCAGTGCTGTACTATTAGAAAGTTTGGAAAATTCATTTATGTTGACCTAGTGTTAAGTTCAGAGGAGGAGGAGCCAGCCAAAGCTTGTGGTTGCCACCATACCTGCCACACAGAGGGAGACATTGTGGCCGGATGCAATGCACAGAATGGAGAAACTAGGTCAATGCAAAAGAAAAAGCAAGCAGTACCAGGAAGGAAGAGCAGTCAGCAATTCAAGCCAAGTGTCATGGCCCCACAGAGGCTAAAAGCATATGCATGGTTTATCCAGGGAAGGATGGCATTTATTGGATTGCAGGAGCAGCACGTCCTTTTCTGGCTACACTTTAGATGGAGACAGAGAGCCCCAGTCTGGCTGCCAGGTGACCAAGAAGTGCTCCAATGAGGGCAAACAGTATGTGGAATTTCTTGCAGGAGCCAGGGAGAAAGACAACTTAACAGTCATAGGCAACTTCATAACTGTCCCTCTCCCAAACGCAAGTATGAACAGCAAGAGTTGATGTTCCCAACTACCACCAAAAAAGCCCAGTAGCAAGCCATGATTGTCACTGGTAACCTGGCAAGTTCTTTTGTGGAACTCTGTGGTTGCAAGAAAATTGTCTTGCTAATCAAAAATATAGCCGGAAGGGAAGGAGAGCCATGAGCTCATATTTCCCAAAAATGGTCTTTAAAAGCCAGCTTAGTTATCTTACTTAAGACATCCAAATATGTCCCTTTTGGGATAGGAGAATGTATGCATTCATACGATATAGATCTGACTTCCTAGAAACCTTGTGATGTTTCAGAATGGGAGTAAAAAATTACACTGCTGAAAGCATGTCAGATCCGTATCACCAGTTTACATGTTGGAATTTCATGGATACAAAGGCATGTTTATAGTAGTTAAGGAAAAATAATGCCCTCACAATAGGAGGGAATGAACCATTGACCCTGCTGTAGTCAGGACAAATTGATCTGTCAGGGTGCAATCCTACACATGTTTAGAAATAAAAAAAGCCCTGCAACTGCCAGCATTCCCCAACATGCATAGGATTGCATACTTATAGCCAAGAAGTAGTAGCTGTCAAAGATCTGGCATGCAGACAAACATTAGCACTGCTTATTGGTAAAGCACAAGGCCCAATTCTATCACCAATCAAAATGCTCACCTGCTCATCAATTCAGCACAGAAAAACAGCATAAGACCGAGAAATGTAATTATGAAGAACTTGGGATCAAACACTAGAACAACAACAACAGCAACAAGTTCTGTATCAGTTAGCTGTTCTGAACTGACTTTGAGCTGCTAGATTGGTTGTATTAGGCGAGCAAAAATGGCTGTGAGAAAAATGCTCATGTAACATTGAGCCAGAAGCATTGTGCTGTCTACTTTCTCTGTGTCTCTCCATTTTAAAAAATATACTACACACACCCAGCGAGGTGCCATTCCTAAATGCCTATACTCTCCATATGAATCTAGAGTTATTTCTAGGAGCAGAGCAAAATGTTCCTCTGCGCAATGCAAGTGTGATAAGAACGAGACTTGCATTTTGAGCTGTCTGGAATAGCTGTATGGCACATAACTAACCCTTGGAAGACAAATAGCACTTTCCCTCAAAGTCAAAATTCTCATTATCCATGTCCCTTCAAAGTAAAAGGCAACTGAACTGAACAACCTTGACTGCCTAAGGCCAGTTAACTCACTTCAAACAAAAGGAATCCCAAGATAAACTCATATGGCAGCACATCAATTGTGGACAGTGTCTGAGTACTGAAATGGCCAAGATCCTATGCAATATATACAGAAAAAACTTATATCCATAAGTAGCTGTACCCAGACAGAGAAGGTAAAATTGTTCATCAGCCATTAAGTGCACTTCCACCATTCACATGGAATGCTTTAAAAAGTGGATTTTCTAACCAGGCGGGATCCTTAATACCAGAAGAATAGTGTTGGACTTACTGTAATACCTTCCCTCCCTGTAGGAAAAAAATGTAACCTTGAATAAGTTCACCACCCCACTTGTCCCAATAGGCAGATTTTATGCAAATCTGACTTGTGCATGCATTTCAGAAAATCATCCCCACCCAGTTACATAACATATGAAAAAAAGTGATAGCTCTAATTTTACTCAATCTTCCCTATATATACTGGAAGTATAAATACCTATGAAGAGAAGGGCATCTCTGGTAAATGAAAAGATGACTATTTGACCACAATGGCTAGAACTCAGGCTTTATGAAACATGTTCAGGAGTAGATCAGTCCTTCATTTCATTCATGGTGTTTGAACAACAATGCCCAGAGCAGTGTTGCTACAGATCCACCCATGAGAGGAACCCTTTAACTTCAGTCATCAGGTGATCACTTATCTATTTTTAAAACTGCAGCCATCTAAAGCAGCTTTTGCTGTTGCTCTTGGAAATGCCACTTTGGCCTCTCAGGGCTTGAGAGAGAATGACCACCTGAGAGGCAGTGAACGGTCTCTCCTGTTCTAGTGGCTAGAGAGACAAAATCTAAGCAAAGTCTTCAGCTAGGAGGCAATTTTATGCCCAGACAGTTTACTGCCCCTTCCGTATTTGAAGGGAAAGAGTAGCTAAAACTAAATAAAAAATGGTTCTTGAATTCTTCAGTATGCTCACCAGTCTGATCACTGCTACTGAGGGTCGGATGCTTGCTTAAGTAGAGGGGCTGGGGAGAGGCAGAACTAGATCTTGGATTTCTCACCAGAGAACCTACTAACCCTTCTGTTCTGGCGTACAAAGGAAGAGTCGCCACAGGTCATACCAAACGTGGTATATCCTGAATTGGTTGACAAGTCTTGAGATTTCCCTGGAACATTTCAATGATAGGTCAGATGGGGGAGAGAAATTGGGGGTGGGGGGATTTCCACTTTTCCCCAGACCTAAATCTGGACCCCTTCTTTTTTTGCTACAAAACAAGAGATGACATTTATCCTCGGCTGTATCCCAGAAGCATTAAGCCTTCTTGTTCCAGCCCCTTCATCAGGTCTTAGGAAAATGTTGTCTAATACAGTAAACCCATCTCTATCTGCCATTTCAAAAGTTCAGTAAACTAACCTTTAGTTCATCACAGGACCTGTCACTGGGCCTTAACAAAACTTGCATTTCCTCAGTTAACCTGAAGTCTTGTAGCTGTTGGCATCACAATCTGATTCTGGGAAACATCATACTTCTAGCACAACATGAGGTAAAAAGGTTCTAGATTGCAATATTACTCTGTGCCCAGAGCATTTATGGTCCTGTTCTCACACTTCTAGACAGCCGGACTGTCGGATAGCTACAGTTCCTAAACAACTTACTCTGGTGCATTTAGCCATACAAGATAGCCATCCAACAGAACTTCCCCAGTATGCCAGAAATCAAGGAAAATAGAACATACTACGAGCAGCGATGATTGTATAGTTAGAGTCTGGTTCAAGGAGGATAACTTTCAAGCAGGTTTTATTACTGTAGATTCCTACAGTAATGTAGGTGTCATTAAACTTCTCTTTGAAAAAGGAGCCAATATAGTTCCATATACTGAACACCTCCAGGTCTTTAAGCTTCTCCTCATTTTCAACTTGGATGACTTGGATCATCTTGGTGCTCTTTACTCGAATCTGCAAGGGATGAAATGGGGGAGGCTCCAAAATTTAATAACGAAGTGTCAGAATGTCACCATTCAACCAGCACAAACTTGAGTACAATTATGCAGTGCACACTTTAAAAGATGAAAGAGGAAAGCACTGAAAATGAAAGAGCACTGAAAAATGAGAAAGTCAGGAACATTTCTTCTTTAAAAAGGTGCTAAAAGGAGAATGATATAATCAAGTTTATTATAAAGACAAAGCATCCATATTCACCTAATAGATGAGGGGAAAGGATGAAAATTAGAGGAAAGAGAAAAAAAGAAAGGCAAATGCATTGCTCTAATGTTGAACATCACTGTACAAATAACTGACCAAGAGAGTGAAAACCAAGATCGTGTGAGAGTTCAATAACTCACAACTGAGGGCCAGTCCAGACTCTAGGGCTTGGGAGGGGCGGGGTTGCAATAGCCATCATGGACCATTAACAACATGGTTATGGCAGGAATTCTTATATCCTGGCATCCAAGTGACTAAGCACATTTAGCATGTCACCATATGTGACTCTCAGCTGTTGTAATGGACCAGGACATGTTTCGCTACTCAGGTATATTCCTTAACTTTGGTAAGGCAGTGAAATATTAAAAGAAAAAGATGTTATGGATCAGGGAAATAACAAGTATCTGTCAATAACTAATGCAGTAAGAAAATCATTAATTGCACAGGGGTAGGCTGGATAACCTGTACATCACAGTGCAACATAATCAGGGTTACAAGAAGTGGTCTGTCTTTGACTGTCACCAATTTCTTTCCCCTATCTCATGTTGAGGGCAGTGACAATCCATCCCACCTCCACTATGGGCTGCCCCTTTGGAGCATCATTAATAATATAAGATACAAATTATTTTGGAGCAAAGCTCCCCATACAGGCCTCTTTGATGCAGGACAGCCTAAATTTGATGATAGAGAATGAGAAGGTGTTGGGGGAAACTTGGGATTACATGTAAGATTGGCCTCTGAGTAACACAACAGAGTATTTCACTAGCACACATAGTTCAAAATCAGCCATTTGAAAATCACTGCATGACTACCTCTTACTTTGCATTTGCTACTCTGTTACTTAATATCACCCACACACTTTGAACTAGAAGGAATGCTGAGAGACAGAAGACAATTGAGCAATTTTTGGTTTGTATGAAAGCAGTATGCAGCTAGTTAGCCGAGATTTACAGAATCTAGGATTAGTTCTCTTTAATTTTGTACAGCAAAAAGTTCAGCTGAGGTGTAGCTGCCAGAAACAGAGAAGACTCTGAACCTTACCTGAATTCTGGTCCATATATCATACCATTTGGGTATTATCTGGTTCTGGTAACAAAACTGCTTAGAGGAATTCTGTTCATACATTTGATTATCTTTAAGTTGAACTGCTGCTCCATCTTCAGGGTTCAAAAAATAAAAGAGTGTTAGATATATTGGCAAATTCTTAATCAAGGATCAAGTTTGCTCTCTGTATACTGAGAGAACAAGAATGATTTGTAAGAACTGAGCATCAGGATTAGCATGTTCAACAAGAGACCATGAGAAGATTTTTAAAAAAGGTTCTCAACCACATCACTGATAGTAAGATCTTAAGAGCTGTCGTACTAGAAAACAACTCAGGAAGACACAACAGTAATTGCTACAACCCATTACAAGCCACTACATGCTCCAAAGTATCAGTTTTGCTTAGATGCATGCTAATATTGCTGTAAGTTCTAGATAGAACTCATGCAGACAACCAAATTACCTTACAGTAAAATTACCTTACGGTAACCCCTCTCTCTTCTGAAGACATCTTGGTCATCTTCTGCTAGGTGGCAAGGATGCTTTTTCCCTTACCATCAGATGAAATTCACCTACCTTCCTTCCTTCAAAATGTACTTTTCCCATAAAGCCTTTAAGCAGAACCCTAACTAAACCTAACCACATGTAAATGAAACAATAATATACTCATTTTCCATTATTTCCTTTCCTTCTTCTGTTACCATGTGGCAAAATTTAGGTTGCAAATTCTTCAGAGGTAGATATCATCTTATCTACCCTCTTGTACTCTGTAAAATATCATACATACTGATGGCTTTGGGCTTACTAACTGCATGAAACCACAGTTAGCAAACACCAGAGGTCATTAGTACTTTGGAATTTGAAGATTGCAACTAAAGAAAACAAGGGAATGGGTGTAATCCGAGACCACTAAATTTAATGGAACTAACTCTGGAACACACACAAGGATATTGTGTTGTGAATCCCAGAGAAAAAGAAATTATTTTCATCCATCTGGCACCATCACAGTAACATTAGCAAAAGATGGTTCCTGCCAGGAGGAGCCTACAATCTAAATTTCAACATGGGCCAACATATGCATTCATGGAGAAAAAAAGGCAAAGATAACAACTGATAAATGTGCACATATGCAGTCAGATATACTTAGGTTTTATTTTATTTAGGGATGAGGACTAAGACATTATTTTCAATTGTTTTAACTATAATCTGTTTTCCTGAGCACTGAGGAAGTGACCTTACTAGGAGTAAGCTCTACTGAATTTACTGAAGATTATTTCCAACAATCTGGCATAGATTTGTGCTGGGTCAGAAATTCAGTGAATGTTGCCTTTTAGCAGGTGTCCATCAGGGCCTGTGCTCAGAAAATCTAGTAAGCGCCTCTTCCATAATTTACAGCTAAATGATATTTACCAAACCCAAGATATAAATGCAAAAACCCAGGATCATAATACCCTTTTCTTATATATCCTACCAGGACCTTTTTGACGACTTTCAGACTTGCTACGTAATAAATGTCATAAAAGTAATAAGTGTGAAGTGATCCTTGTTGACTTACATAATAATGAGTCTGCACAGAGGGTAAAACTTCATTAAAAGAAGGGAACTTTAACGTGCAGACTTAGGTTTAGACGGAAAAAAGGCCTACAACTCCCAGCATGCACCTGCGAGGCTCCCCCCCCCCCGGTCGAAACGTGCATACGATTGAGCCTTAATTCTGAAAACTTTAGGAAGTGACTAAATAAAGACACCTCCACGAAACTTAGGCGCCCGTAGCCCTCCACTCACGTTTCGGCCCCACACTTCACTACTGCAAGATATTACAAGACATTTCCCTTTGTGAGGGACGGGATTTAATGCGCCAAAACCACCAGAGGAAGCTGCATCGCCGGCTCCTCATGCCCGCACGTGGAGTGCCTCGTTCCAAAGGGAGGAGCAAAAGCTGCTTGAACAGTTGGCTACCCTGCGATTCCCTCCACCCACGCCCTTACCTGCACCGCACAACAGCACCAAGAGAACGGCGGCCGCTTGCAGCAAGCGGCAGAGTTGGCGCGATCCCGAGGCCGTTTTCGACCCTCCCGCCATAGCCGCGCCTCCCCTCCTTCACCCGCCGCCCATCGTAAAAGCAGCACTGCAAGCATCAGCAACTCCCGCAGCCTATGGGAGACCCGGGCCTGCTGCCATTCGCCCGCCCCTTTGCACGAGCGATGCGGACGTAAACCAATTGCAAGCGGCCCGAGGGAAGAAGGCGGAAGGTCTGCGCGCGCAAACTGTTGTGTCCGCGGTCGCGTTGAGTGATGTCTCGGTAACCTATCAGAGGGCTTGACCTCTGTGAGGTAACTGACAGTACTGAATCAAGGCTAGGCCCTCTGGCGGGCCCGCCCAGATAGTTGGGACTGCAACGCCTATCATCCCCAATTACAGGGCGTACTGGCTGCGACTAATGGATGTTGTCATTCCAAACACCGGGTTGGCTGACTCTCGTTTAAAAGCTTTCCAGCAAAGCGGGCGAGCCGCCTCCACTATTAGCTAATCCCATGGCCATTGGATAGAAGTCCTCGCCTTTCAGGTTATGGGAGAAACAGCTTTAAAAGCAAGGACCTCCCCGCCTTTTTTAAAAGAAGGAAATGACAGTATCGTTGCTACTGAGGCTTAATTAACTACGTAGATCATGGCGACTTTCCTGTTAACCAGAAGTGCGGAGAGGTTTCCTAGCAACCGTCGAATCTTCTTGCTAGCAACCTCCTAAGCGAAAACTACGGTCCTTTCGTAGAGGACAGCCGCCCTCGGAGGCAGCAACCATGGGGAGTTCTTGCCTCTTGTTATGCAGTAGTGCCAGAACCAAGACGAGGCAATTTGCTCGCCTTTTTTTTTTTTTTTTTTTGTGTAGCGCCACTCAGTGTAACGGCTCCGCTTGGAGAGAAATTCGGAGTCCAATGCATTCATTTCTCAGCCTCCAGTCCTTCCAAATCGAAGCGGAGCAGAGTGGGGATATCGTGCAAATGAAAAACTGCTCACTTTTTCCCCAACAATAATTTTACAATATTCTCATTCGCCAGCCACCGAAGTCGGCCGACTTTAGGTAGACTGAGAGAGCCTCTCAATGATAGCCCCCTCCTCTGGAACTCTCTCCCAGTGGCTGGGAGAAACCTACAAACCTAAAAAACTTCTGTTTATGTCTGCAGGGGGTTAAAAGACTTTTACTGGGCTTTTTCAATTGTCGCTGTTTTTAACTGGATTGTTCTGTGTTTCTTTTTAAAATATTCCTATATTGTTTTAATTGTAAGCTGCTTTGGGAGGACTTGATCCTGAGAAACAGCATATAAATTTCTTAAATAAGTCTCTGTTTTGCCCTTCCTCCACGCAGCTTCATTCCTTGAATGGGCAAGGGTGCAATCAGATGCATGGTTAGATAGAAAGCGTCCTAAAACTTGAGTTATAGGACCCTTTTTTCTGTTTAAGCGTACAGGATTGTGCCCTAAACTATGTAAAAAAAAGTTCAACTGGTACAGAATCAATAGCTAGTCCTGTGTCAACAATAGATTGGCTCAGAAAGCAGCGGAAGCTTTATATCCTTTATGTTTAATGAAGCTATGAAAAATAATAAACTTTTTAGGGAGGCCTATGTAAAATCTGCAAACCATTAACCAAATATGGAGCCTAGGAATGCAACGTATGGTAAGTAAATATTGGTCTCATTAAAGGGTAAATTTACTCTAATTTGTAAGGAAAGGTCCACTGTGTGTGCAACAGCATGCTTAAATGAATTATATATATTAAAAAACCTTACTGGGTGTGTGTTTTAATACAGGCAAAAGACTAATAAGCACATATATTTCTGAGAATGCCAAATAGTGACTTGGTTATCTCACATCACTTCAAAGAGTTTTTTGGCAGAGCTGGTTCATGCATTCAGTAGCAAATTGCTGTGTTCAGCTATTTATGTGGTAAATATAGTTGTTTACTGTAAGCCACCCCCAGACAATCTGAGAGAAACAGGTGATAACTTCTATTGAATAAAATAAAATTCACTGTGTGTGTGTGTGACTAACATCCCTGTAAAAATATTGTTAAGGGGAAAGAATTAAAATTGAAAGGCTATCTGATCAATGGTTAGTGGCCATGGTATATTCTTCCCCGTAATTGCTATGCGATAGGACAGATTCAAAGAAACGAGTTCTTACTATCCTTCCTGGTTGGTTGATTTTGTTTGAACATTTCAGTCGAGTGGGTTGGATTCTGTGGACCCTGGACTTAATCAGGATGATAGGGGGAGCTATAGATAGCACACAGATAACTTTCCTCATTGTTACCAACACCCTGCTGCCATTCCATGCTTTACAACTGTTCCAACATTTTTGATAGCAAAACAAAAAAGATTTGCTACCCTGATTAAAAAGGTAATAGTCTGAGCACATGCAGTTCCCCATTTTAAACTCACTTAAAGGAAAGCACCCTGACTACAACATGGTTTGCTTCAATTACTCTGATGCAGAACACATTTACCAGGGAACAAGCATCACTTTGTTATAAAAAGGATAATATATATTTTAAAGAAAGAATAGCAGAATGAGCATCTGGTACCAGGATGTTCTCCATTGTCCCTGTCATTTGCCACTCTCTGGATGGTCATTTGAGGGGCCCAAAGCTGTGGGGCAATGGAGGATGAGTTCAAACTGCATCACTGATTGAATCCAGATTTAGTTATGTGTAACCAGTTTGGCAGAAGCAGACTTATCTCTATCCTCTGTATGGCTGCTGCTCTAGCTCCCTGGGGGAAAAAAAAACACACCGGAATGGGAGACTGCGTTGAATGGAGTAGGCTGTGGTACAGGGTGAAGGCATGGAGGCACCTTCCATGTGCAGAGCTCTTTTCACAGAAGGCGTTTCCCCTCTTCTCTCTGCAACACAGCCCACTCCATTCAGTGGGGTCTCTTGTCCCCCTGTGTCGCTGTTTCAGGGCTGTGGGGAGGCTGGAGGCTCTGCCATGGGAAGGAGAGTGGAGAAGACATCTTCTAGCAGCCAATTGCATGAGTCTAAATCTGAATCCAAGCTAAATAGAATTGTTCAGTATACAGTCTCCAAACTCTGTGCTTGTAGCACATGAAGTTTAAAAAATAACTGTTCTGAGGTATTGGAGACAGCACTTTAAGTTTGTGGCATGATGGGACTACAGCATGAGTAGTGGTGAATTAACTTACCGTTTAAGGGTAAGCTGGCATATGGGTAAGATGACAAACCAATCCTTTAGTGTGTGAAGGGTTTTTTTGGTTGTGACACCCGAGTTGTAGAATGAGCTTTCCAAAGAAGTGAGCCTAGCAATTACTTTGTGTTTGTTTTGGTGCCAGGGGAAGACCTTTGTATTCTCCCAGCATTTTTAACAGTCTACATTTTAACTTTTTTTTAATTGCATTTTATTCTGAATTGCTGCTATCCTTCTTTGCTGATTCAATTGCCATTGCTATTGTGGTTATGTGGTTTTAATTTTTGTTTTTTATTTCTGTTTTGTGTTTTTCTTAAATTATGTCAACTGCCCAGAAAGCCTTGGCTACTGGAAAGTATAACAAATAAATAAATGCTCATGATTCTTTTTTGACTTGCAACTTCCCAGTTCTACATTTTCCATAGCTTCTCACTGGAATCCTATTTATGTTCTTATTTATTTTGATTGTGCATTTCCCAAGTTACATGCTTAAAAAAAAAAGACCTTCAGAAAGTAACAAACCACAGTACACTTTTCTGTTTAATAAACGGGGGGGGGGGGAGAATCATGTATACATGTATAGTTGTTGGATGATATTCATAATTATATCCATCCAGAAGGTGGTGTAAGACAGAAGAACATCTTTTGTTGTTTTCTCAGTTTTCACCCCTGCTATCCTGAGTGATTTCAATTCACAACACTGACGGTAAATTATACTATGACATAAGTTGGCTGGAACAATTTGTTTTTAATAAAAACTGGGAATGGCAACATTTAATTAGTTAGTTAATAGATTTTTGTTAAAGTGCTGAAGGATTAAAATGTTGCACTAATTAATCAGGCAGCAGAGTAAAACCCTCTCTCACATTTACTACCAGCATTTTATAAAAATTGCAGATGGCAAAGCAACCTTTTAAAAGAAGAATTCCTCTTTCTCAGTCCTCCTTAAATCCTCTAAGATTATGACACAATGTGCAATATGAAGATATAGTTTGCCTTTTGTTTAAGAATTCTTGTTTTTACTCATGTAGAAATGCATGCCTATTTAATCAATAATCAGTGAACTAAAGGTGCAATCATGTACTCTTACCTCAGAGCAAGACCTATTTTATGCACTGGGACTTACTTCTGAGTAGATGTACAAATTGTGTTGTAAACCTCATTGAATTAAACAATGAGTTCATAAGATGGCTTTATAAAAATACTAATAGTGAAGTGACAGTGCTAACAGGTGGGCTTTGGTATAGATTACTTTGGAAAGTGGGGTTTTCATTGACAAATGATTGATCATAATTCCTCAGGGACCTACAGTTAAAAGAATCTTACAGCCTGATCCTAAACACATTTACTCAGTTCCTTTTTGCTAAGCATGCTTAGCCAAACTGTGTCCAGCCTTTGTCTCTTAATCTTCCATAATGCTTCAATAAACCATTTAAGGCAATTTCAAAAGGCACTCACTAGTGGAAGAAGGAAATAAAATATGCAGCATTGCAAAGGAGAAACCTGGTTTGACTTGTATTTCTAGAATCCCCAATTTACATGACAGTGAACAGGTGCAAACTACGGCATAGCAAGAGTTCTGGTGCCCCTAGGGAGAACACAGGTGTGCTGCTCCTTTCATCTCTCTTAGACCCACAGACCAAATGAAGATTGTGTTAAATCCCAGGCTTCAGGCCCACTCCATGGGGCAGATCAGAAAAAGCAGAAAATAAGCAGAGCTAGCTTAAGTGACTGACATGGTCCCAAAAAGGTGAATTAATTGCAGTATCATAGAATAGTCCAGTTGGAAGGGGCAAAATAAATGGTCAGGCAAAAAAGTCCCCATTTATTATCTGACCGTGGCAGAGACAGGCAACACCAGCACTTTTTAAAAAACTTTATTGTAGGTGCATACTAG